TTTGTCTTCTTGTTATAATTTGTAGTCATTCTAGAACAAAAAGGCATAATTTATATTTATTTCCTAATTTTTTATGGTTGTTATGAAATTGGTTAAATTGACCGAACCCATACAGAGATTCATTAGTGAAAATAACAGATAAAATATATTTTTTTATCTTAAGAAACATTTTATAACTATCTGGACATTATAAAGATTTTGCATGTGAAATTTGAAAATTTTCTGATGCATATAAGTATTTTTAATCTTAAAATGAAAATGACTTTGCATGTTGGATAGGTAATATGCAAAAAGAAAAAAAGGCATGAGAAAAACATTGCTTAACAAACCTTAAGATTTAATAAAAAAAATCTGATATTTTGTGTATGAAAACCTTGTAATGTATACTCATAATCTGCCAAATTTCGTGAACATATGCTTACTCATTTAAAAGTTATAGCATAAAAACTATAACAAGCATAAAATGGTTGCAGGTCAGTCTCAGTGACTGAGCCTGTGCTGATAGTTAAAAGGTATTGTTATGTCTCCGTTCGTTAATTGATTTTCCGTAAATTCATTCCGATGAAACTTTAGCGACACAAGTCCTTTCTTAATAAAACTGGTTTATTCTTTCTGAATACAACTTTATGATACACTTAATTTCAACAGTCGCGTTATAACAAACGCTATATCTCATGTGGCCAACAATATTTTGTCCGCATACATTCAATTACTCATTATACTGTTGTCCTGTCACGTTGTGACTGTCTTATATATACCAGGCTACCCCCAATCTAGTAAATGCTAGGGCATTCTTGAAGGAACAGGATATTTCTAGAAAATAGGTGGCGTGACACGAGTCACGTGACCTCGCTGACGCAACAGTATGTATATTTTTTTTTCTACATCCTAATTTTAATTATTTTATTAAATGTTGATTATAATAGCTAGAGTTAGTGATATGGTAGAGAAAATGAAAAATAAAATATAAACATTTACCTTAAAAAACTTTTGATATTCATTTAGGAGGTTCTAGAGATTGTGCAAATGAAATATGAAAACTATAAGAGAAATCAATATTTTTTACTTAAAAATATAAATCACTTTGCACTTAAACTATTTTAACACTTTGAGTGCAAATAACTATTATAGATAAGTAACATTTTTATTAGAAAAATGTATTAAAATAAAGTAATTTTTTGTGTGTACAAAATACTTATAAACTTTAACAAAATCTTAAAAGGTTTTGTGAGGAACGCTCAGAGATACTGTATATTTTTTTGCATATATGTCCTTCCACAGTCAAAGTATTACAAAATGTATCAGCCTGTACTGAAAGGGTTAAACCTATAATATTATAGAGTTTATTCTTTATCAGTGTTTATTTTTCTGCTTTAATTACACCTCACATTTGTTTTTTTGCCTGATCCTTTCCATCAACAGATTTAAGGAGAGCTAGGCCCATGGGCCCTTAAAAGTATCATACAGGCAGCTTGGTTGTCATAAAATGTGAGGTATTGTACTGGCAGTTTATAGACCCGTAGTTGACATAAAAGCATTACAATCTTCTCTATAATAAGTTTTTGGCTGATTGCACGGTCGTGCACCAGTGACGCATCTTTCAAATGTCTGCCTTATAAACTGTCGATGGTGTCTCTGGATTGCCCACCGCCTCCCTCACTACACACTGGCATGCTACACAGAAAAACATACTTCGCTACAAAGAGTACAATAATGCATATCTAAATTTGCTACTAAATATTAGAAAAGAGTCACCTACAGAAACTCACTCACAGCCGAATTTCACAACGTTGCCGCTGTCCCCAAACCATGTCTGCAAATATCTATCCCCATACAACATGATACACAACATCACTAACACACCACCATGATCTATAAAAGTAAGAAGAAGAGTATACTTTATTTTATGTATAACTATTTCACTTTTCAGTCTCTTTTCAGATTTTCATTTCTTCACTAGCTGTTCACTTTGGCACTAGCTTGGCTTTTTTCGGTCCCGGCTAGCAAAAGTGGGTTTTCTCGGGGCACTCCCTTTTCCCCCCTAAACCAAACTCTTAGGCATTGGATCTATAGATCTCCGCCATGGCACTTTGGTCCATTGATCCCTGCCATGCCCTGTAAAAGCCCGTTTGCTTCGGTTTATTTCAATAAATTGTCAACAGTCGTTCTCGACTTGTTTCTTCTGCAAAAACAACCTGCCTCTGCTTCACTTCTTCCCTCAGTATTACGATTTATTTATAATTTTATTATTCTCTTCTTCTTTTAATTAATTTTTTGCCCACTTGACCCGTTAGAACGATGACCACTTTACAAACTTCTAATCTTTAACCTCGAACAGGGTGAAGGAGGATTGATAATCTTGAAACACCCTTGGTGAGTAACAGGTTTACTCTAAATTATTAACTTTATACCAAAATAACTGCCATAGACCATAGACTATAATAAGTTTGGAAATGCACTAATTCCAAGTTAATATTGCATGTGTAACTTGGGAAGGAACAAGTATTTTTAGTGGTCAGTTCTTGTCGAGTCCTTGATGCCTATGATTTTATTTTTTCTCATCCTAATTAAAAATCTGTTAGACTTACAAGAATCATGTATACTCTGAAAATTAAGTGTTTGGTTCCTGTGTTGTAAACAAGGAAAAATCAGCTATACTCTAAACCTCAAGTGTTTGTATACTGTGTTGTAATCACAGAGAAAAATCATGTATACTTCAAAACTTAAGTGTTTGGATACTGTGTTCTAAACACAGGGAAAAATAATTTATACTCCAAAACTGAAGTACTTGGGTACCGTGTTGTAAACACAAGGACTAATTTAAAATTTGGCCTAAGTTGTTCTGAGGAAAACATAAATGCCAAATTTTAAATTTTCAGTAGCACTTGTCTAGTACTGCAGTATTCTTTTTAATCTATTAAAGTCAGTTTCATTTACCCACAGACCAATACTACAGTAGTTTTTTATTAACATATTAAAGTTGACTATGCAAACAGTAAATGATATCTTTGAACTGTTGATGAAGAAAATGCCCTCTTTGGATCTGAAACTTTAAACCTGCCTTTGCTACTTAGTAAGTTCTAATATTTTCTGGACTGTAATAATGAAAAGTCCAAAATTTACAAACATGTAGATTAACTATATTGTTTGTACTCAATAAACTTTCTCTGTTTTTCCATGCTTGTATTTTTTTGTTTTTGTTGTTGATTTTTAGTTCTTAGTTACAATTGTGTAAGCATTTCATTATGGATATCATTTCTTATTATTCTAACAGGTTAAAGAACTTGGAGCAATAATGTACAACTGTAGTTGCTTAGCAACAGATATTGCCAAGATATTTGAAGTATACTGGATGTTGGGCAAGAAAGGAGCTAAAATTCCTCCCACGTGGCCAATATCTCTTCAGACTGACATCAATGCTGAAACACCACTAGGTGTAACAATCAATAATACACTAACAGATGTCTATTTTTCTGTAAGTAGAGCAATTATTGTTTGAATTACCTACTTTTTGTAAGTAGAGGTATTATTTAAACTGTCTGTATTTCCATAATCACTTATTTTAACATTCAGTTTTTTTAGAGGAATTGCATGTATTGTTTATTTTTCTGTAGATAAAGCTATTGTTTGAATTCTTTATCTTCCTGTAAGTTGAGGTTTTTTTTTAATTCTATATCTTTCTGTAAGTAGAGGTATTGCTTGAATTGTCTATCCTTCTGTAAGTAGAGGTATTATTTGAATTGTCTATCTTTCTGTAAGTAGAGGTATTATTTGAATTGTCTATCCTTCTGTAATTGGAGGTATTATTTGAATTGTCTATCCTTGTGTTGCGTCAGTGAGGTCACGTGACTAGTGTCACGCCACGTTTTCT